TGCTTGTAGGTTTCCCGAAACATCCTATTGGACATCCTAAACTATACCTTTGTTTTTTGGATCCTAAAGGACTGCTTTAACAGCCTGATTTCATTGCAGAAGTACCAAAAACTTCTGCAATGGAGTGGTAACTTCTGAAAACCAAAAAGTGCAAAAAGCAGAAGAGCTTTCCTCCAACAAAACATCAGGTGAAGTATTCTAATAGTTTGGAGACTGAAATAGGCAGCGGGGAAGGATCACCAGTGACCACAAGTTACAATGGCTCTGAAGAAGATATGAAATTGGAGGCATGACACCATCATCAGAAATGGAAGATGAAAGGCAGCTTCATCCAGCACTTTCTCAGTGACTTGTGCTTAGGAAAGGAAAACCCCCACTGAGGCACTGCCATCATCCTCCATGCCGTGAGGGAACAGGCCAGGTAGGTGGGACTCGTTCAGCCCTGGAAGGTGGCCCATCTAGAAGGAAAAGTCTGACTTCAAAACCTCCACAGCCTTGTGGCTATATCCACTGATAAAAAAGGCTTCGGGAGTTAATCTTGAGGCAAAATCCGGAGCTGGAGTCCCGGAGGCAGTTTGTGTCATTCTGTCAACTCCTGCAACGTCGCTGGAACCAGTTGTATTGGCTCTTGCCTTTCCATTGGACTATTTCAGTGATGTGGAGAGGGGGGATTTTCTGCTTGGGTAACAGCCTATCCATATTATTTTACCCAGGCTTCATGCCCTGGAGGACACTCCAGCTTTGCGTACAGAGTCAAAACACTAGACGCTGTTCCAAGTCCTCCATACAGAGCATGTTACCATAATCTCTCGAGACTATTAGGACTCCCCAGCATCCTCCAATATGAAACCATGTAAGGAATATATTGGTACATTCCAAGGACATGTGCTTTTGGGGCCCAGCACACTACAGCATTCAAAAATTGTTGCTGCGATCTCTGAATAACATTTCCCAATCCAATTATAATATCCAAGAAAACTTTGAAATAGCACTGAAGCAAATGGCTTCAGTGCTACTTCAAAGACTAGACTGTATGTCTGGATTTATTCTCAACAGCAAAAAGCCCATCACTGGGATGTCCTTTTTAGAGATAAAGAAAACACATAAAACATACCAAGTTCATACAGATGCCCATCCACACTGGCAAACAGAATGAAGTGAAAGTTCACTTTATCATCTTCAACCTAAAAAACCCCATAAAAAACCAAGAAATCGTGAATCCAGCAAAATCACAGAACCACCTCTACGTTGTGATGTTTTTTAAATGCTGTTAAATAATCTTTCCGTTAACATATTTCTCTGCTATGCCACTTTATGTAGCCTTCCAAACAAAATCCTACTGCCTTTGTATTTTAGAACAGTTGTGCCTTGGCTTACAAATGCCCTGACCTACGAACAATTCAACTTACGGACAGCTCTGGCCACAAAATTTTGCTTTGACTTGCGGCCGGAGTGTTGACCTACGAATGAAAAGGCGGGCAATTCAAATTTCTAACTGTGGGTGGCGAAAGAGGCTGCTTCCTGGCAGCTCTTTCGCCCCAAGTTAGGAAAAGGCAGCGGAGGAAGGCCAGGTAGGCTCTCGGAAGGCAGTGATTTCGGCCCCAGTGGGCCCCCGTGGGGGTGCAAGAAGGCTGGGAAGGGTCCAGGAGGGCAAAGGGGGGTGGCAGTTTTGGCCCCAATGGGCTCGCAATGCAGTGGAGGGAGGCTGAGAAGGGTCCAGGAGGCGGTTTTGACCCTCACGGACCCTTCCCAGCCTTCCTGCACCCCCACGCAGGCCCAGTGCCAATTCCAGAGGCCTCCCGACAACGGCGGTGGAAGCCCAGGAGGCTTCGGACCGGTAAGGTGCTGCTTTTTAAATTTTTTACTAAGTTTTTGTTTTGTTGGTGAGGGGGGGGTCGAGGGTTGGTGTTGTTTTGTTTTTGGTGATTTTTTTTTGCAGTCCCAGCATGGGACTTGTACTCCCCCCACCCTTTTTTGGTATTTTTTTCTTCGGCTGGAACGGATTAATCGGTTTTCAATGCATTCCTATGGGAAATGGTGCTTTGACCTACAAACGTTTTGATTTACGTCCACCATTCCAATACAGATTAAGTTCGTTAAGTCAAGGCACCACTGTATTGACATATATAAATAATATATATATGCTCTGTACACTGTCTTCCATCACAGATGGAGAAAGTGGCAATAACTTGTGCCCCTACATTAGTGAATAACCTAACTTTCCTCTCCTTGAAAAAACAGGCAGCAGGAAAATTGGCAGCAATTCCTACTTAAAATGTCAGCTAACAAGAAATCTAGAATTCTATAACAGAGAAGACATTTTCTCATGATGTAAGCAAGTAGTGGGCAAGCTGTGCCCACTAATTGTTGTGCAACAATACCTGCCTCAACCTCTGGCCCAGCTGGAAGGAGTTACGAATTTAGAATCAGGAGGCGGCAGGTCCCTCAGCCCTTCCATAAATAGTGCCTTGCAACTCTGAACTGGAGAGGAGAGGTAATATTATAGAATCTAGAACAGTACCCCCACTTGGACAACCATTTCTTTTAAGCGTTACCACTTCCTAACATTACACATCTGAATGCGTATATGTTTAAGATGCATTTACCCGACACTGGCCGTCTTGGGCTACTGCATTGTGGGCTTCTTGAATGGCCTGGTGAAAAGAGTACAAAGACACAGAGCGGTTTTAGCAAAACTCTTATACTAGAAATCATTAAGAGTCTTCCACACAAATTGCCTAGTTACTTTACCTTACTGTTTTCAAGACGTTTTGCTCTCTCATCTGGAGAGAGGTCAGCTGTTGCACTGAGGAATTCCTTTAGTGCGGACCCTTCATCTGGAAGATACAGAGTTTAAACCATAGCAGGCTCTGCCAGGGGTCATCAAAAGCATCTCCTGAAATATTTATAAGCCTCCACTACACCTATCTGCTACACTGTCAATCGTGTATTGAGTCAGCAATTAATGCAGCTTGGATCCAGTACATATTCTATACTGTACTTCCAAATGTTTTTCTCTTTTACAAAACTGCATTTTGAGAACTTGGCATTTGAAGACATTAGTCAAGCAGCTTTTAGAAATCATTTATTTCACTGTAGGATGCAGGCACATTTCCTTATTTGGTCCCACAAACAAAGACATCCCAACTTCTGTTACAAATAGCTTTCCACAGTTTTACTGAAAAATGAAAGTATGCTTCCATATTGATTGTTCACATACTACTATCTACAAAGTCTGTGGGTGAGAACTCTTCAGAAAGCACTTAATGATTCACTCTATTGTGACTGCTTTGTCATGTTGTGTTTTTTTTGGGCATATTTACCCTCCCTATGATTTGTGAACTTTTAAGGAAACTTTTCTGGAAACTAAAAGCTCCCCTATTCTCCAGTGTGAACACCCAGTGATTTTTTTTCCAGATCTATTAAATCAAACAGCCAACTTTTTCTACTGATCTTGCTGTTGTGATCTCACACCTTCTTCTTTAATAAGAAAGCAGTAAAAATCCCATTGACACTCAAGAACTATTAAATCAAACAGCCAACTTTTTCTACTGATCTTGCTGTTGTGATCTCACACCTTCTTCTTTAATAAGAAAGCAGTAAAAATCCCATTGACACTCAAAAGCTGTTGGCATTATCTTTAGATAATATTCCTTGGCTATATAAATCCCAGTATGTATTGTTCAGCCACTCATACTGAGCACCCTTACTAAACAGATAAATTGTGTGTTTTAGTATTTGCCTTTTTAGATCTTAATATTAACTTCTAATCCTTTACTTCATGAAATGAAGAATGGTCTACATCTAGTCGCATGACACAGTCTCGCAGCTCAACAACATCAAACAATAGGCATACCACTCCCTTCTGAAAGCCTCTTCCCATTTTGCAACATCATAACCATGTCCCAGAGGATTTAAATTAGCAAAGCACCACTCAAATTTCCCTTCTTGGAAGTTCCAAACACCATCCCCAGACTAATTACGATAGGAAGCTCTTTCAACCCAATCTTAAAAACTTGAGTTTTCTTAAAGGTGCCTCATTTCTCCCCAGTGTGTATGCACACAATATGCACTCAGAATGGTACCTGGATTAATTCCTTAGGAGGATTTTTGAAGCACCTGTAATTTTGAACCTGGATACTTTATATTAGTTGGAAGAGCCTTCCCCAATGCTTACCAAACAATATTTTATCTTGGTTGTTAGCCACTGCATGTATCAGACCAATAGTTCCACATGAGTTGCTGGCAGTCTGCTTCAGAAAATAGACTTTGGAGCTCACTTCTTGACCCTTCAGTTCTTCAATCTGCTTCTTTCTGAAGTTTTCGTGCTACAGAAATTTAAGTGTAGTGATTAAGCAACATTCTGACAGCAAACTGAAACAGTCCCTTGGATTAACACATTCAATGTTTTCCCTAGATTGTTAACTCTTCTTGTGTGCTGTATTATGAAGGATGCACACTGTATGTTTACCTATATGAACACATTCCTGCCTCACAAAAAGGGCCGCCATATGGAATTCCCCACATAATGCAAAAACTGCACTAGTTTTGAAGTCCAAGTCCAGAGTATTATCAAGTCCCTCTTCTCATATACAGTGGACCCTTGACTTACAGACGGCTTGACTTACAGACTTTTTGACTTGAGAACTGCCTTCCAATACGGATTAAGTTCTCAAGTCAAGACCCCACTGTATACCTTCCACTGCAAATTGTTTCTCTGGGTGCTGGTTATTTTGTTAATGCAAATCAGCGACATGAAATATTAGGCCTACCAGAAGACCTTGTACAAGGTAAGCAGCTTCATTTAAGAGCAGAGTGGATTTGATTTAAATCAAGTTGATTTAATTTTTTAATTGATTTTTTTAATGATTTAAATTAAAACTATTTTTGGTGCAGTATATAAGTTTAAATAATAAATAAATAAATCATGATTTAAATACATTTGATTTTTATCCACTCTGTTTAAGATTAATCTGCCAGCCTGTGGAGATTAATAGAAATCTGTTTTTTCAGTTTTGTCTATCTCTTTATTGGAACCTATTACAGTGGCGCCTCACTTAACGAGCGCACCGTCTAACGACGGATTCGCATAGTGACCCGTTTTTTGCAGTCGCTAATGCGATCGCATTGTGGTGATTCCAAGGGGCGAAAATCGCATTGTGATGATTGGTAAGCGTTTCGCTTACCGATCTTCGCATTGCTATGTTCTAAAAACAGCTGATCGGCGGTTCCAAAATGGCCACCCACAGCGTTTTCGCGCCCTGCCCTCGCTTACCGGGCGGCGAAAATGGCGACCGGATTGAGGATTCCCCGCATAGCGGTGAGTTTTGCCCCATAGGAATGCATTAAACGGTCCCCCCCCCCGGCATAGCGACGAATCCGGATAGCAACGTTAATCCTGGAACGGATTAATGTCGCTATGCGGGGCACCACTGTATTCTGTTCTACAACCTGAGTGATTGCATCAGGAATCCCCAAATGCCACTGTTGATGTGATATCTAGTGCTAGAACAAGGTATGGATCACTTATTTAAACAAAAACAATCTGACGATTGTTCACTTGTTTTCAGGTGCTCTTTTACTAACTACACACTGGACAGGCTGAGAAGCCATGAGACTCCAAACATGGCTGCCTGACAAGACACACTAACAACTGAGACCATGAATAAGCAAGTCTCTGCAGCATCAGAAAAATGCAATACTTACCTGAATCACCATCACTACCTACTGTACTCACTTTCAAGCCTATCTGTGATTTTTTTCCACTTGTTATTAAAGAAGCAGCTGGTCTACATATTATAGACAATTAATGAACAGCAGTAACAATATGCATTATGTGAGAAAGAGCTCCATGGTCTCCTCAGTTATAAGATGAACTTAGTGATATTAGGGGAACATTAAACCTGGATCAGGGATGCTGAAATAAGGGGAACATACTATCTGAATCTGTCAAAATCCTGGCAAGAATATGCCAACAAATATGAAAAAGACAATGATGCCCCACTGATTAGAAACATTCAATATACATTCCAGTCCTCAAAATAAATGACATCAAGTAATACAGGAACTATAGGACCATTGCATTAACTTTCAATACAAGCAAAATAATGTTCAAGGTCTTGCACATCAGGCTTTTACCCAATAGAGTGGAAATGCCTGATGTTCAAGATGGATTCCAAAAAGGAAGCGACAACTTAAGATCACATTATGGAGATGGATCATCTCCATAAAAGAACTCACAATTCTGAGTTTGCAAGAGCTGAGCAGAGCTGTTAATGACAGGACATTTCAGAAGTCACTCATTTATAGGGCCAGAGATGACTTGACACCACATACCACCATCACCACCACTAATAATAATAATAGCCCACTTAATATCTGGAAAGGCATCTTCACGCAATTATAAAACTGTTTCTATCCACAGACAGAGCTTTCAAACTGTACCTACATCACTTCCTCCCTCTTTCCAACAATGCTTCACATGCACGGACAGAATCCCACAAATTCATCATTTTGGCCAATATGTGCTTTGGCTTCTTTGGAACAGGAGTCCATTAGATGCTCTTACAAAATTACATAGCTATTTACTTTTGTTAAACACAGCATACCAATATCCCTTTCTGACAACTAATCAGGAGCTCCTGAATTACAGGCATACCACATTTCAGCCTTCCAACTATTGCCAAAGTAGGAGATGGATCCCAAGTTAAGTGTACCTGCTTATCTCTAGTCATGGCTGGTGAAAGTCAGCTAGCAAGGCCTACTAGCTGGAAATATTACTGCAGCTGGCATTCCTGTGAGAACTTTCACATAAACCAGAATTCCACAAAGTTCTGGCTTCTGTAACTTAATTAATAACACAAGTACATTAATGTTACTACAAGACAACTCTGTAAAAGCAGGTTAAAGCTCCTTTCTCCCCTCACTTTTATCTGCGCCTTTGCTACATCTGATTATTCTATTCTTTGGAGGTGGACACCTTCTGTTCCGCAACCCAAGTATCTCCCAGACAAGACGCAACATAGCCTCTAAATACAGCTCAGGAATGGGTAATCATCTTGTTTTGCCGTTTACATTTCCAAAAAGAGGTTCTTTATTAACTATATAATCTGACTTTTCTTCTCTTTTACAATAAAAAAATATTCCCTAGAACTTATGCTTGTCTCTCAAGAGTTCCCAACACCCACAGCCCAATTTGAAGGGCTGTGTCTATTCCTGCAACCCCATCTCTAATTATCAGCGAGGTTCAACTGAAAAAAAAAATTCTAATACCTGCTAATGGCCAAATTAAAAATGGGGGACACGTAGGGGACATAGCCTCCCTCCCAACACAGTAAAACTTTCCCTGTTTGTGCTCTAGGGCAGTGGTCCCCAACCTTGGGCCTCTATATGTTCTTGGACTAGAACTCCCAGAAGCCTTCACCACCACCTGCGCTAGCCAGGATTTCTGGGAGTTGAAGTCCAAGAACATCTGAAGGGCCAAGGTTGGGGACCACTACTCTAGGGCACAAGGGGTTTCAAAGTCAAAAGTGGTTTTTAAAACATTAATTCTGAGGCTGTGGGATGTCCAGGGGATGTGACAGTTTGGCTAGTGGGGCTACATTCAGCCCATGTTACCTACCACTGCTGCATGTACATTATTCTGGAACCTCACTCATATTAAGTTCAGGTCCTTCTGCTCTTACCTGTTCTTGTCAAATATGGCATCACCTATTACTTTAGGGAAGCAGATGATTTGAGATTCTAGAGCCTTGTTGTCCTGATAACCACAGAGATGTTCTGTAAGGTCTAATCTAATTCAGCCTTGAGACAAGAAAAGAAATGGTAGTATCTGCTATTTTCCACGACTGATGTATGACTTGGGAGGCTCATCCATATAGAGAAGCCATGAGGTTCTGGGGTTTAGGCCCAGGTACTCTCTGCACAACCCTGGGTGGGAAGACATATTATTCCATACTTTCACACACACCCCAAAAAAAGATTTGGTCTCACAAAGAGGAAAGCCTCACATGATGAATGCACAACCAAACAAAGGTTAAAAAATGAGCCCCAAGACAGGCATGGAGGAAACAAGACTAGGCAGGAACACAACTATCCGTTCTGGATTTGTCAATTTCAGTGTTTCTCATCTCAGAAACTTCCACCACTACCTTTTAAAAAGGTATCTCATTCTAGTCTTTTTGTATTTTGTAAAGATTATCCTACTCCATTCACACAACTGTCTGTCATCATTTGAGAACATTTTTTCCAACGGCTACCAGCATATTCTTCTTTGTTCAGGGCAGATGCTTCATTACACATCTACCCACGCTAAGATGAAATCATCCTTATAAGATATGCAAGCAGCAACAGCTCATTTGCCTGGACTGCCTGATGCTTAGTACATTGGAAGAAATCAGATGCTCCTTATTACCACTCACTTTCAAATGGCCTCAATCCCGATATTAGCGATCAGCATCTCTCCAGTGAGATTCACTTTCTGGCAGATGCACAGCTCATGATATCTGACTGGCAACCAACCAAGGGAGGTGAGGAGGCAACCACTCTACACGAATATTTTATGATACTTTGAAATTTACCTTGCCTTTATTTCAAGAGCCCTGGTGCATGTCAATCCTAAACATCACTTTGTAAAGCAAGTGTCTTGGGACTTTTTAAAAAAAGCATCCACAATGTTTTAACAGAGAGGGAACTGGAAGACAAAAAGTCTCATCATCAGAGTTTTCCAGTGTTCCCAAGAAGCAAGTTTTACCTCTCCTCCCTTTCTCCATCTTATCACTCACCTGAGCAGTAAGAGGGAAAAGCAAAAGTAATGCACAAGCCGGAGTGGGAACAGCATTTAAGGAATCCTCCTCAAACCCCAGCACGTCCACAAACCGCCAGCCAGGGGCAACTCCTAGGCGGGAGAGCACCTGTGTGAGGAACAGACATATCATATTCAACAGTAAGTCAACAAACACAGCATGTTTCTCTTCTACACACTGCCTAACACAGACTACTGGTTATATGTATATGCCACCCTTCCTCCAACTGACTCAGGCTCTCGTCCTCCTCCTTTTACTCCAATAATGATGTAGAGTTTGGCAAGCTCAGAAAGAAAGACTGGTCCAAGATACCCAAGACGTAGGCTCTCGTCCTCCTCCTTTTACTCCAATGATGATGTAGAGCTTGGCAAGCTCAGAAAGAAAGACTTCTTTGCTCCAAAGATACGAAGCTAGATCCCTCAAATCCCATTACAACAGCCTAACTACTATCCCACATTGACTTTCTGCTCCCTTTTCCTGTATCCCGAAGCTAGATCCCTCAAATCCCATTACAATAGCCTATTTATTTATTTATGTATTTGATTTATACCCCGCCTATCTGGCCCACCGGGCCACTCTAGGCGGCTTCCAATATAAGATCAGATAATAAAAACATAGGCAAATACATAATAATCAAACAACAGCAGCAGTAAAATAAAGAAGGAAAAGTAAGAGAGAAATCAAGAATTGGCTGGAGGGAAGGCCTGGATAAACAGTCATGTTTTTAATTGGGTTTTAAAGATGCCCAACTACTATCCCACGCTGACTTTCTGCTCCCTTTTCCTGTATCATCTCTCCTGGGAAGATATTTAACACGCTTTGCTATTTTCTTTACTGGCATTATGAAATACTAAACCAGGCTATCTGGACATATCAAGTCAAGCTGTCCTTACACATACAACAGGGGTGGGGTGGGATTGGTGAAGAACAGAGAAGGACAGGATGGGGGACTCAACTCCTCAATCCATTTTTCTTCTTCACAATAGGAACTCCCCTTTACAGCCTTAGAACTGCGGAGCTGGAAGGGACCCCAGCCTCTGTCAAGGCCGCACAGTGAGGAACAGAACTCCCAAGGCCGCACAGTGAGGAACAGAACTCCCAACCTCGGACTCCACATCAAGACGCTTAAGCTATTGAGATACTTCACGGAGGCCCTTTTTAGCCTAGAGTGCCCCTGAGCATTTTTAAACCAAAATATCTAAGCTGGAAGGGACCCCAGCCTCTGTCAAGGCCGCACAGTGAGGAACAGAACTCCCAACCTCGGACTCCACAGCAAGACGCTTAAGCTATTGAAATACTTCACGGAAGCCCTTTTCAGCCTAGAGTGCCCCTGAGCATTTAAAGTGTTCCTGCCCTTTTTAAATCAAAATATCTAGGGAGTGAAGAGGAAAGAATAGTGCCAAGGATCTCCACTGCTTCCCAGCTACCCACAGCTGTTGAAAGGAATGCTAAGTCATGTGTATGATGCATCTGATCACTCTTTTATTTTATTTTACATTTTTGCTAAAAGAAAAGTTCCAGAGGTGCACAAACCAGGATACTTCTTGTTTTAGAGACCAAGAAAATCTAGGGGAGAAGGATGCTTAAAGGCCTAAGGCAATTCTCATCCTCCCCCATATTTGAAAATGGCACACAAGAAAAAGGCCACAGGTAGGACGTCTGGAAATAATCCCACCATCCTCTACCAGAAGACCATGGTGGACCCTCTTCCCCAGCTATTGAAAACAAAGAAGGGAAGGGAGGAAAAGAGGGTGGGGGGGCGGAATCTTGTTTTATATCCCAGCCAAGCTCTCTAACCTCGCTGCTAAATAAGGGGCGGCCCCGACATGACACAGCACAAAACCTGGGGCCGCAGCGCCACCTGCCGTCCCCCTTATAAACAGCCGCCCAACTCAGCGGCGTCCAGGCACAGCAAGGGAGGGGGGAGCCCGCACCCCAACCTGCTCGCCCCCTTCCCGTGCCAGAAGGTCCGCCACCATACAGCCCCTGCTTCCGCTGCTACTAAAGGGAAGCCGAACGAGGAGCCGCCGCCGCCGCTGCCCTCCTACTCCTTTTTTGCAGCTCTTCAAAGAGCCTCCCTGGAATGAATGGAAGTAAAAGGCAACGCCCAGCCAAGGAAAGATGCGACTCGTTTTTTCGGGTCTCGACCGACACTCACTTTGTTCAGCATCTACAATACACATGGGGGGGGAAGAGAGAAAGAGAGAGAGTCAGCTCGTCTTAAGGGCGGCGCCCGACACCCCACCCCCCACCCGTCGTGTCTGAAAACAGCCCCCGATTTGGCGTTAGTTCCAAGAAAATTCAGATCTCTTTACGGGGTCCTTTTAGGATCGCTTGTCTCCCGGAGCGCCCCAATGCAGAAATTAGTCCCCCCATTAACATCTCCTTTTTAAAACGAAAGAAGGGGAAAAAATCCCAAACCCCAACTATTACTAGAATCTCGGGGTCACCCCAAAATACGTTTCCCAATAAAAGAGCCGCCATAATTCCAGGACACGCCTTTTCCCACCCTTTTTTGCAGCGCCTTCCACCGAGAACAAGCCCTTCTACCCCCCCCCCCGAAAGTCCCACCACCATTCCATGCAACAGATCCCACTCCAGCATCTAGCTGTTAACCTCCGGGTTGATCTCCATCGGCTGCCACGCCATTGTCTCCAAAATGCAAAGCCACGCGCCACGCCCAGCTTCCGACAACCTGCAAAACGACGGCGCGCTCTGGGATAAAAAAGCTGCCGCCCACCGCCTATATAGTGCCACCGGGCTGACTCATTGCAGACGAGGGGGGGGTCCGGGAACGAATTGGAGCCAAAGCACTCCGCGAGCTGTCCATTTCCCACAGATAAGACCCCCCTTCCATTTTAAATTTATGGTGCAATTCTCTCTCTCTCCTTGGTAGGTAACCTATGGTATATTGAAGCTGTACGTAGATTAGACGAGGAGACGAGTCTACCCCCGGAGTTTAGCACAGTCCTCAAGTCCGCTGATCTCTTAGGTAGAAGTTACCAGCAAACGAGAGCCACCGTTCTGCCCAAAGCAATAGCGAGACGGGCAATAATTGCAAGTACTGTACTGCTTTCAAACCAAGACTTACTAAACCAGAAGTGACACATTAGTGGATGGTGGGGCATCTGTGCCCCTTGCAACTGCAATGGAGTATAGATAATTTAGCAAGCCGAGAAAATGCTGTTGCCAGCAGCGAGGCACTCTGGAGACCCGCAGGCTTTAAACCTCTCAAGAGCGCGCGGCCTGCAATCACCTGCCTCGCCCACCGAGGGGGTGCCACGTTTTAGCAGCTAAAATTTAGCTCACCAAACTGTACAAACCCCTATTGCAAATTGAACAATGTGTGCCCTTGATGGCCGGCAGTTTTTCTCGCAGGAGCCATGCAGAGAACAGGTGCATAACAACCCCACGTTCTCATTTTTATGGGAACAAAAACTGCACAAACTAGAATCATCACCTTCCCCCAGTTCAGTGAATCTTGTAAACTTCATTTCAGTTGAGTTTTGCTTATTGCAGAGTAACATAAACATCACGTTCAAAACACAAGAAAAACAGTGCATTTCTTTTTCCCCCCTTGCAGTTAACGTGACACAGTAGATATAATGTAGAAAAGACAGTTGATTTAGTTTCTGATATAAAATTAGAGAGTCTGCGTAAAAGGTCAGTCCATTAAAGCAATAACAGATCCTTATGAATTCATATGATTTTTATGTGGGATCCCCACCTAAGCATCAAATCATAGATCCCATCTATGCCCAGGATTATAACAGAAGTCATGGGTCCTTCTGTGCATGACTTAGCAGTGGTGCAGAAACATGGATCCAAGTTATGGATTCTCATGGATCCACCTGATTTTTACGTATGTAGGATCCTGCCCAAACTACTGTCCAATTATAGGCTCCATCTGTTCCCACAGATTACAATACAGAAAGCATGGGTCCTTCTGCATATGGCTTTGCAGTGGTGCAAAAACGTGAATCCCAGGCAGGAAAGAGACATTTCTTGTTAGGTGCGTACAAGTCAGAACTGACTTATAGTGATCCTGGTAGGGTTTTCAAGGTAATGTAAGTAAGGTATTTCAGGAGTACATCCCCCCCCCGTCCATGTAAGAGCCAGGGAATTGAACCCAGGTCTCCTGGGTCCTAGTCTACTACTCCAGCCACTAAACCATACTGGGTATATGCACCATCAAATAGCACCTGTTGATGGAAAAGTTAACTGGCAGACAAGTCCTAGAATCCTATTAGTCATGCTGGTTGAGGGAGTCTTGGCAGTTGTAGTCCAAAGTACTACCAGGTTTTTACTACAGCCACATAAAATCCTTCTTGCAAAATTCTCTGTATCTGTTGCCCAAAATGGAACAAAATTTTTTCTCTTTTGCCTCTTCCTAAATTCTTCGGTTATTTTTTTCCCTCTGAGTTTCTTTCTTAGAAATTTTTTTCTCTTTTGCCTCTTCCTAAATTCTTTGGTTATTTTTTTCCTCGGAGTTTCTTTCTTAGAAATTGCAGTAGTTTTCTCATTCTGTGTTGCTGACACTTTTCTTAATAAATAAGGCTCGCCATGTGCCTCCTGCTTGCCGGGTATCGCCATGAATGAAGGTAAACTTATAGCCAAAATTAGATGGTTAAAACAGAAATGCAAGAGAGGATGGTACCTTTTATCTTGGGGATCACACAGCCTATTCCTTGTTCTTAAGACAGAGAGGGACACACACACATACTTGTATCAATGCACTGACCTTGATTCTACCCATGGAGATCTTAAAGTACAGTAAATGTGGCATTATTCTATGAATCTGCTTTTTCTGCTTGTTATAGCTAACTGCATTCATCTCGCCGGCTTTGATTATTGTCCCGGTAATGCACTTGATTTCTGCCCGAGAGAGATTGCTTGTGACTGTAAAGATCAAAAGTCATTTTGAAAGTAAATTTGGAGGTTCTGGGTAGTGTGTCTCTCAGCATGAATAGTTTGTTTGACTGAAAGGGACCTTTCTCTTTAAAAGAACCCAAGAAGGATCACATCATTTCAAAGATGATATTTAAAAGCTAAAAGTGGGAAGTACATAAATATTTAAAAAGAATTAAACAAGTATTATGTTGGAAACAGTAATTGAAATCAATACTTTGGGAAGGCAAAAACCTCATGTAATCTAAAGCAGTCACGAAATAAACACAAACATACAATTTATAAATATATACAGTATTCCTATTTTTTCTTCACTTAAAATTGCACTAAAATGAACACTAACACCAAAGTATAAATTACAAATATTTATAATTGCAATTAACATTTACAAATCTGTTTAATTTCATAATCAACAAATTAGCAAAACAATGCTGCTGTCTCTTCCTCCCTTTCCTGTCTTTTTCCTCTTTTTCTCTTTCCTCTGATTTCAAGGGTCTGTAAGCACCCGGAGGAAGTACAAAATGGCATTAGGATATTTGTCTCTGTTCCTTCCCTGTTTCCACATCAGCAGGCAAACCCCTCTCCCAGGTCCATTGACTTGGGAACTGGACAGATGTAGCTCTGCATCCTTCTTTCATTCTGCCATTCATCTTGGGAAAGTTGCTTGCCTCGCAGTTGTTGTTGTTTAGTCGTGTCCGACTCTTGGTGACCTAGCAGTGGGCAGCTTCATTTCTGTGTTGTTGTTTTCTCCACTTGAGAAGCAAGATAAAGACTCCAGGGTTTCTTCTATGTTTCTTTCTCTGCTTTCTTGAGAGGAAAAAGGCCCAGAGAAGGGAAAGTGCCTTTGTGCTACCAAACACCACAATAAACCAGCCACACAGCTAGATCAATGAGGGAGCAAACAAAACGCTAAGCCAAGCAGGGACCTCCATTGTTTGTTTAACTGCTCCTGCTGAAAACAGGAGGGGTCAACCATGAGCACCAACATGCTCTTGTATGCAGCAAGCTAGGATTCCTATGTGAGTTTGCTGGTGGACTCTTTCTGCTCTTCAGAGGCAATGTCCACCTTCTGAACTAAACAAAGCCGGGCTATTTGGGCCCTTCCTCTTCAGCTGCAGTCCTTCAATTTTTCCCTTGTTCTTCAGCTGGGAACGTGTCACTGGGTGATACTTCCCATGCTTCAGCATGGAGGCTGTGAACCTCGTGCAGTGTTTCCAGCAGGGAATCCTTGGAATCAAAATCAGACATTCATTCATTAATTTCAAAGCAAAGCTGTCTCTCCCCTATGACCATCCCTGTAGGAACCCTGTTTAGACAGTGTGGGTGTCATGATTTTTATGGGATATTAAGCAGAGTAATTTGGCGTTTTTTGTTTTGTTGTTGTTGTTGTTTTAAAGAAATGGTTCCTCTTATGAACATCCATCTAACTCAGTCTTTTTTTTTCTGGTGAACATAATCCTGGTAGGGGCAACAGGAGAAGAGTATTGCCAAGGAGGAAGAGCAGAGGGAGGGCTTCTATAAGCCTTCTGCCTTAATATACATGACCAGCATACCTGGGTAAAGGGAAATGGTGCTGGGCTAGGAGTATCTAGAAAAAAAAGCACTCAGCAAGGGGTGGGTGAAATCCCTCTTCCTCTTTGGTAGTTACCAACATCTGTCGGGGCCTTCAACATGCTACTTAGCAGTGAATAAAGAACTGCATCACAGTATGGCTGGAACTACTGTACTTTTTCTTATAGGAGAAAGACATGAGTAACTTACCCAAAGGTTTGAATCGTCTTTCTTCACATTGGTACGATTAGGAGGTGCCACCAGGAGACTAGGAGAAATAACCCACACAACAGATTAGAACCTGAAATCTTAAGGCAACACCAGCTAGATTGGATTTGGTCAACAGTGAGCTGCACTGAACATACATACCCATGTATGTCCTCCATACCTCCTGCTGCCCTCGATGAGTCCCTTTTCTACCATCCCTACTCTCCAGGACCACTCATAGCATTTCAGTGAGGTGGTGCCATTGACCTTAGCCAATATCATTTTAAATGTTTCTAAGGGTTATGGAGGGTTTTGAAATTTTTCTTCTCCTTCCTAAAGAGATTCTGTTGCATTTTTAAGAGTAAAAATAAAATTCTAATTTTGACAGACTTCATGCTAATATCTATGCTTAAGTGGCATCAACATAACACAAAGGGAAGCAGAACAAAAGTATTGTCTGGACATGACCAATACTTTGCCTTTGTCTGTGATTTTTGAATGGTTATCTTTTATGCTACTGAATCTACATTTATACTATTGAATCTGATACTGGTTGTTCTGGGTTTTTCGGGCTCTTTGGCCGTGTTCTGAAGGTTGTTCTTCCTGACGTTTCGCCAGTCTCTGTGGCCGACATCTTCAGAGGAGAGCAATCTAATACTGTTTAGAGATGGGCCTGAACAGCCGATCTGGTGGTTTGTGCCAGATTGTTTTTTTCAGCTGAACAGGTGTTTGGTGCTTCCCACTCAGAGGAGGCGGGGCAGGGAGTCCAGGGTGCTGCCTCTGAGTGGGTGCCTGCGGAAGGAGGCGGGACTGGGAAGCACCAAATACCTGTTCAGCCAAAAAACAAACCAAAAAATGAACGGGTTCAGCAGTTAATGCCCATTACTGTCACATCAACCTTAGGTTAATTTTACTTCTGCTTCTCTGTTGCTTTGCACATTTCTGTTCTTCAGATTCATTTTTCCCCCACCACTACTATGTGCACAAGGTAGGTACACTCTCCAGGATTAGATACCTCTTGCTATTGCTGGGTGCCTTCCTCTGAGACTTCCTGTTGTTTAAGTGATC